ATATTTTTATACTATTTATTTAATGATTTTAAATTATATGCTATTCAAAAATAGTTAAATATATTTAATTAATTTAAATTTTAACATAAATATTATAAATGGTACGTGTGTAAAATTAATGATTGATATAAAAATTGATATAAATTATATCATATAAATTGATAAATGACTCAAAAAAATTTAAAATTTGTCCCTCTAACATAAATTCTTGACTCTATCCTTGGTAGCATGATAGTGTTACGGTAGTATTGACTATTTGGTTTAATTAATTTAAGGTTTATGTTAGAAGGTTGACATTAGAAAAATATTGTTTAATTTCTTAATTGGAACAAGTTGCATCCAAGTAGAAGTGCAAATAATATGTTTTTTTATAGGTTTAGTCAATAAGACAGGCAATAGGATAGTATATATTAAAGTATTAATATTGTTTGGTTTAAGCTTCTACTATATTATTACAATAAAAAAAAAAAGGTAAAAATCAAAACATATGGTTAGTGTTGTAAAAAGCAGGCTTAGGTAGTGCTTAGATGTTGCCAAGACTCTAGGCAGTCTCATTTTTCCTACATCAACCTCTAAACAGAAATTCAATACGGTTTGCACTGATTAAATCAATTAAACACACCCAGACACTATTAGGTGCATTTAATGATGCCTAGAGCACCTAAGCAATTTTTTTTTCTTCTAACCTAATGAAACAACGTTATTTAATTTATTATAAAAATTATATTAAAAAAATTAAATGTCAAGTAATTTTGTTAAATTATGCTTTTCAAACATGATAATGAATAGAAAAATGTTTTGAAATTTTTCTCTTTATTCTGTACTTTTTAAAATTGTTTGATATTTTTATTTTTTTATTTTCTTAAAATTATATCAAAAAAATTATTAAAAAAACTCTCTAGTCAGCCTAGACATTGCCTGTGCACTTTGGGCTTTAAGTTGTGTGGGTATTTTTTTCTCCTTTACAAAGAAGAAACGAAATTGGACAATGTTGGTTCGATTGGATATATATGGGCTTTCATGTGCCGGCCCTTTTAAAATCTTAATGGGCCTTGATAAAATTTATTTAATTAAAACGGCATCGCTTCAAAGTTAAATGGAAATGGAAATATAAAGCCGCTTTCAGATAGATACCGTGCAGAAGCTTTTAGAAATCTTTCATGCATTGCAGAATGGGACCAATTTCTCCCCTGAAATCAGTAACAATTTTGTTTCAAATAACTAAAATTAAGCTAA